CACACACACACACACACACACACACACACACACACACACACACACACACACACACACACATATACATTATACATATTGAAGAATGGATTTGCATGTATGCTCCAAGTGAAATAAAATGTAAAAACAATGAAAAAATGACGTACAATCATTGATGGTTGACTTGCGAAACAAAAAATTTATTAAAACATAGCAAAATCAAACGGATATTTCGATAGCTCCTGCTATCTTTATCAACATTCTACATTTAAATATTTTCTCCAATAACGTCCATACATACATATGGTATTCATTTCCTATTTATATATATCAGGGCCGTCGGAACGTTTTTCAAAGTAGGGGGCCCACTAGTAAGATGAATGGGAATATGAATTGCAAGGGAGCCAATCATACAAAAAAGACGGTTTGTCTAGCGCATCATGATTTATATATTGTTTGTGGGTGTAAATTAAAAAGAAATAACAAAAGGCAACAATTTATAGTAAAACACTGAAATGGAGAAAAATAAAAATTATATTCAAATTTAAGCCATTTTGAGTGATCTAGAAATGTCAAAGACAAATTGTGTTACCTCATCGCCAACCATGATTGGGCTGAAGTGGTCCACACCCTCCATTTGTAAATGCATAGTTGCCAACTTAAAAAAAAAAAAAACTTGCGTTACATAGCAACGGCCACTGGCTGGGGGCCAAGGGAGAAGTTCAAGGGGACGAAGCCCCCTGGAATCTCTAGTATTTTCACTACCACTGGTTTGATTGATCTTTGACACTAAATTAAGTCAAAATGTGTGTATGTAAAGTTAATAAAACCAAGAAGTTATACTCATTTAAATTTGACCAAAGTAGGCCTACAGTACTCTAAACTTAGGATAAATGCCATACTGTAAATTTTTTCATAATTGCGCGGAGCATACCTAAAAAATCGGCTCAAATTTGCACGGGGAAAAACCGCTAGGCAAAAAGGTGCACGAAATTGTAATTGCTGCATAATTGCATTGGTTATATATTAAGATTATGGATCTTGTGGTTGAATTGACTATGCGCTTTGAGCACCATTGGTGGAGATGTGTGCTTTATAAATCATTATTATTATTATTATAAGATTTGATCAATGCCGAATTCGGCCCTTATTATCCAATATGCGCGGATGGATTTCTAAACTAAATTTTTGCGCGGAGGATATACTCCATTGAGCGTACTGGGTTCCCTTGCACTATCTATAGCTAGGCTTACTCTTTGCCGACACTAAACACTACGGACGAATAGCAAATGATTTATTTCTATGTTACTGTATAAGTCGTTATTTATTATTGTAAAAATCTCAGTACCTTGAAATCTCTGAGTTTTTGTTCATCCGTAGTAAAACTGGCAAGATAAATTACTGTATATGCAAGTCTGACGATAAATCCGTATAAGTTGGCAACTATGCAATTAATGACGACCCCCCCCCACATTTTGGATTTCTGGATCCACCACTGTTGTGAATCATAATTATTTCATTGTATTGTTTCTTGGTAATTATTATTATTTATGGAAAATAAAATTTATGGAAGAAATTTCTAATAAAAAAATTAATGATTCTCTTACAGAATGAGATGAGAGGCCTTTTACAGGTGGCTGGAGTACTCTTCATTTTGCTAGCTTCCTTGAATGTCATCTTATCTCTTAACACTCAACTGCTTGACAACAATCACGATGACACGACACAAACAATTTCTGAACTATTTTACAAAATATTGTATAAACAACCAAACAAGACATCTGAAACTCAAGAGAAGGAATATTCAGGCTACCATCATGAATATTTATCAGATGACCCCACTGTTTTTACCTCCTCATCGTAAGTAATCTGAAACATGTCTTGCCTAGTGCAAAGATAAGTACTGTTTTTCAGAGTGTTATCCAGTGTTGCATTGCGTCTGTTCTATCAATTCAGCTTGCTGTTATTGTTAGTCAGCACAGGTGTCTACTGTTAGGTTTACGAAATAAAATCACTGGTAAGATTCATAGGGAGAGTTTATGGCTAAATGTGAACCAAACTACAGCATTAGGAATCAAATTAACATCATTTAATAGTTTTAGGACAGAGGGGTCCAGACCAAGAGTAGGAGTATCAATATTTGTCGCATTAGTACTGTAAATGTTGACTAGTATCTAGATTGTTGTAATTAAAGTTCATGTGTAATAAAAATAATTTTCTTTCAGGTTTCCAGCAAATAGAAAGCAACAACCATCCATTGGTAATGGTTACTTAGCAACAGTGGTTTACAGTAATACCATATTTGTGAATGGTCTTTATAATGGCAAAGGCACCAATAGTCATCGTGCAAGAGTGCCATCGACTGCTGCCATAACTGCTTCTCTACAGGAATCAGCTTCTCATTTGTATACTTTAAATGTTAGAAAAGGTTAGCAAAAGTCTTAATATTTTTAGAAAAGTTTTGCTTTGATTTGATATCAAAAAATGAAAATAAGAAGTTTAAAATAATCATTATCATCTTCATTGCTATGTTATAATTTTTTTAAACATATAACAATATAGTAATTTATTGGTGTATTTTACAATAATTCAATAATTTGAATACTGTAAGTATATAGTAATAATATAATTATAAAATTGATAAATGTTATTTGTCATTTTTGAATGTAATGTAGATATTGTTTGTTTGTCTTTCAGGAATATTTGTTCATGAAATAACTACAGACAATATAGAGATTACACATTCCATCTATGCTCATCAGGTCTTGAACCGTCTCCTTGTTAACCAGATTACAATTAATAGGAAAAGCAGTAAATCTGATGATATCGTTGTCAAATTGGACACAAATTTTGGCCCAAAAAGTTTTGATATAAACTTCAGTGAAAGCCCTGTGAAGAATGGTAAGAGGTAGGTGATTCCATTTCAGATATTGTAAATAGTTCTTTCCTTATTTTATTTTTGTTGTGCTAATGGCAAATGATATGCTGTAAAGTCCTGGACCATGGACAGGCCTACTGCAGCTACTCCAGCGCACTGCAGCTAATAATTCAGCTACTCCATGCTACTGCAGCTACTCCAGTTAGCCTGTCTGTTGTAGTTCTTGCTTAAGCCTGACTGTAGCAAAATCTAAACAAATCTGAGGGCAGCTTTTTGTCCAAAGCAAACATCATATTGTTTGTGGAGTCTAAAATTTGTGTTTGATGTTTGAAAATGGCAACTTTTTGACAAGTATTTACCATCTAATCTGTATGATGTGATGATTAAAATTCAACCTTAAAATTATGGGAAAAACCCCTCATCAATCGATCCTGATTTGTGTTTGGGTGACACATACGTTTTTTAAAGTTAGGCCTACAGTATATTATGATTATGATCATCGTTATTTTATTTTTATACTGATTGTATTTTTTTACATTATGTTAATGCCTTCCTCACTTTAATTGGTCAAAGCGTGTCATGGGAACAATGTGCAACCTCCTGCACTCTATTTCTGTCATGCATGCACATCCAGTGTAGAATAAATACATTCAACACAGAATGTGCTTCTTGTAAGAGCGTGTACAGTGCTTTGTGGTGGAAAGAGCAAATGCAGAGAATGTTTCCTTGCCCAAGAACACACACAAGTTAGCGTGAGATTTAATTTTAGTGGATAAAAACATTTTAATTTCCTTGCAGGAGCATGCATGGAAGAGTGAAGGAACCTGAGCATGATAGCTCTGAAGTCATCATGACTTATGTCTACTGGACAGATATCCCATCATACATCACCCTTCCGAAGAATGCATCAACCAAACGTTACACATTTATCACATCCATTTCAAAGACTGATGAAGATGCAAATTATTTCTATACAGAGGGAATTAAGATGGATGCTGCTAATGAATTATTCAGTAGTCATGTCAGTGCTTGGAAATCAAAATGGCAAAAGGGGCACATAGATATTGACAATAACATATTTCTTTCAAGAGTTATATACAGTAGTATGTATTATATACTCAGCTCACTGCCCCCACTGAACACCACGGGAAGGCTATCATTTCCATTTTATGGGCTTGCACCTGGTGGACTTGCTAACGGCGCTGGCTATCTGGACTATATGGGGCATGTATTTTGGGACCAGGAAACGTGGATGTACCCTCCAATGCTGTTGCTTTATCCATCACTTGCAAAAGCAATGCTCAGTGCACGGACCAAACATATAGATGCTGCAAAGGACATTGCAAGGTCTAAGGGATACAATGGAACAATGTTCCCCTGGGAAATGGCTTATTCAGGTGACTACAAGATATTATTGACATTTTTCAAGTGGCAGGGGTTTTCCACTCATGTCCAAAAATCAAACTTCACTTCATAACCCTCCTTTATTACTTTAGACAAGGCTAATAATATTTCCTGCCTTATGAACCCAAAATGATAGAGTATTAACACCAGGGTTGGTGTCCTAGACCTGGCCCCTGTTGAGCGTGAGCTGGCGCCCCACCCCCTCCATTGCTTTGGTGGAAGAAGACATTAGTAGTACACAAAAGTATATGAAACCCCCAAATTGTCATAGTATCCGGGGATACGCCTCCTAGATTCTGGTTTTTGAGCGATGCCCGACAATGCCCACTTACGTTGTCATCAGGGAGTTCCACCCCCATCAGAGACATCAGATCCCCTGTCGAGCAAATCCTGGCGCCACCCCTGATAAACACTGAAAACTAAAGTAGTAGTAATAGAACATTAGTGAGCCTGCATTCCTCTATTTATGCCTGTTCTAAGATAAGCTGTAATGTAGCATGCCACTTCATTTACATGCACCAAATTTTATCCTCATGACCCGGCACTCAAAGAGTGTGTTGTATCTACAGTGCTAACTGAAATACTGTAGATACCAAGATACTCTTTGCTTTTTCTACAATACTAACAGTGTTCCTGGTTATATTCAGGGTATGACGTGTGTCCAGACAGTACCGTTGGCAATTTTGAACAGCACGTCAATGGTGACATAGCATATGCTCTGCAGCAGTATGTGAGAATGACTGAGGATGTGACGTTTCTGTTGGAAGAGCATGGTTTTGATCTTGCCAAAGGACTGGCAGAATTTTGGTTCTCAAGGGCTGAATACAATGGTATCAAGGATAGGTATGAAATTAATGGTAAGCTCAGCAAGTTTTTTTTTTTAAATAATTTATTTAATAACAGGCAAAAAGAAAACATTTTGTTCGAAGCAAATTACAACCATTCCTTGTTGGCAGATTCAGGATTTAGAAATAGAGAGGAAATCAATTCTACAGTTGGAGGGTCCAGACATACCTCATGGTTGGGGCTGAGGTAGTTAGGGCACTTTTAGATGGCTGGAAAGGGCACGCACTTTCAGAATCAGTGAGTGTCAAGTTTAGGCTTTGGTATTAGTGCATATTATTGATATTGTATATCTTGTCTTTATTTTTTTCTAAAGGTGTAATGCCTCCTGATGAGTACCACTCAAATGTTAATAACTCTGCATACACAAACCTTGTAGCAAAAATAAGCCTGTTACTCCCCGAATACATCGCACAGCTGGTCAACTCCAGTGTGCCGGCATCCTGGAACAAAGCCGGAAATAAAATGTACATTCCATATGATGATGTCATCAAGTACCACCCGGAATATGATGGCTATCAACTAGGTATTGTAAACCACCCTTCTGTGGATTTTCTTTTGTTGCAACGTATGGCACCTCATCTGAGAATTGTATCCAAATTCCGCTTTTTGAGTTCCCTTGCATCAATACACTGAACCACCCATCCTCCTTGCTCCAAATACTGTCAAAATGATTAATGATAACATTCACTATAGGCTTCAGATTCCAGAAGTATCACCTCTAACCGATAAACAGTGGCTAAGATGCTCATCATAATTCACAAATCACATTAATTTTGTACTCTGGACAGCTTTTCCAATAAAAGCATTTACTGAAAAGAATATTACAACAGTTATTTTAAGTGTTTGCTGAAATTTCCCTGTAAATGGGAAATAAAGCTTAAAGTAGTTACAGTATAGGCTATTTAATGATTTTTGCATTTTTGGTTAGGAACATTTATAAAACAAGCCGATGTAATCCTTCTCGGATTCCCTCTCATGTACGAAATGCCTGTTGACGTTAAGACAAATGACCTGCTTTTGTACGACACCTACAAGGGAAAGGCCGTGACCAATCGAGATGGCCCAGCCATGACCTGGGCCATGTTTACCATCAACTGGCTCAAGTTGAAGAATTTTAGCAAAGCAGAAAATGTGTTCAATAAAACTTTCGCCAATTTACAAGGACCATTCATGGTAAGATTCAACATCTCATACCGTAAATGCTCGAATCGAGAGTATTTATTACACTGTGTGTAATGAAATGCTTTGAGAAACAGGGTTTTTATACAATGTATACAGTGTGAAAATTAATAAATAACAAATGAAGACACAAACATTTCTTTATAAATGTTTATTTACGATGACGTAGGACCTATGATAGGCCTACTGCACTACGGGAATGTGTGAGATAGGGAACAGGCATGGAAAGTGCCACACCTATATTTTTTTTTATAAGCGTCGCTCTCGAATAACCGCCACACTGAAGCCTTCAACAATTTTATGATGCCGTGGCGCTTATTTGTGCATTTACGGTAGACAATTTGTTTTACATTCCATTCTCATGAGTAAATCATGATTTTGAAAAGTGAAGGGAAGTGACACAGTACTGTAGTTATATTTGATCTCTACACCTTAACATTGGAGGCACATGTCATACTTAGCTGATGATAAAATCAATGCATCCACAGTGAAAAGAAATATAAAACACAAGGTGTTACTGTTTTGGAATTCATTGATACTGATACTTAATGGGGAGTGTTGGCAGTACAGTATGTCATTTGATCGACTGCTTTGTGTTGTTTTCCTGGAAGCTTTACTCTAACCCTGGGAGAATTTTACCCCATTCCCAGGCATTTCTTACTACCGTGTTATAATCTAAAAAAAATAACTAAAGCATTACCTGCCAATGGCATGCTGAAGTAAGTAATCAAACAATTGAACAAAAATATGCTGATCATGATGAATCCATTTTTTTCATTTCTTTGCAATAGACGTGGACTGAGAATCCAGATGGCAGTGGAGCGGTGAATTTTCAAACAGGAATGGGCGGCTTCTTGCAGACTATCATGTTTGGTTTTGGCGGGATACGCATTGGAGAATGTTTAGATGTTGATTTTGTTCTTCCACCCAAGTCTAGTACTTTTAACATTACTGGCCTCAACTACCTAGGTTCATCGCTTAATTTTGTTGCTCAAGAAACATCACTTAGTGTAACTTTAACAGAGAAGGAGGATAATCATGTACCTAATCTTCAACTGATTGTATCACCAGTGAAAACAGTTATTCATAAAGAAATTTATGCTCTGAAGTTAGGTAGGTAAAGTACTTCTATTCTGTATTTGCATTTTACTTTACATTCATGGGATCAACATTCGTTCATTCGTCCAATGAGTGTGTTCTATCTCTGATAGTGATTCTTTTTGAAGCAAAAAGTGTTCATACAAAACTACACTTTTTGCCATCAGCAAAATTATGGAATTGTATGAAGGGAACTGAGTGTTTATGTGCCATAAGTTTCTGGTTCAATGACTAGAGTAATATTATAATTAAAGCATGTTGAAGTCATGCTAGGCATCATGTGCTATATAAAACCACCATATTTGTATATATTAATGTTTGTTTTTACTGTAATATCCATATAACTTGAATGTTGAATTTTTAAGCTGTTCTATAAACTAAGTGTAATTATGAGGCTTCACTGCATATCATTTGTTTTTACTAATGAGGGAAAAAATAAGTTAACTCATCTTTCTGTTTTTTTCAGGAGTTACTGTAAATATCTCAAGAGTTCCAGCACGTGTATGTAAAATCTGAATTATATATTCTGTTTTTTAGGGAAGAGGGTGGTTTAGTCATTTTCTAGGCATGTAGTAATGAATTTAAAATAAAATTTACAAAATAAAACTATGGTTACTTTTTCCTTCTATAGTTTTATTGCACAATTGTCAATCAATATTCAATGCTGTACCTTCAGTAGGCTAAATTATTGAAGCATCTGGTGCAGTGGTAAGGCTCCAGGCTTATAATTGCAAGAGCAAGGGTTCAAGTTTGAGCAGGCAACTTGTTTGTCATTGGGTGCTAGGGCAGATTATTATTCCTGACCTAGAGTAGGGGAATAAGTGAGTATCTGGTAAATTTGAATACCAATTCATTGATAACTAACTGCAACGTGTATTAATTCCCACCGAGTATGTATTGGAATCATGTTTATCCAAAATGACTGGAGTAATTTCGTGAAGCACTTAGAAGGCAGTACATGCTATTATAAATGTAATATTATAAATATATATTTTCATGCAATTTATAGTATATTTGTTTTATACAATGTGCTTCAAAAGTACTAGTTTCAATGTTATGTTTTTTATGTTATATGTGTTTCCCTCTAAGTTGTATTTATTATTACCATATCTTACATAAAGTAAGGCTACACATCTCCTGAATTCTCTTCTGGAATGTTATCGTGCTTTATTCTGAATTCATTTTCAGGAAGTTTGGTTTTTGCCAGGGTATTTTTTTATTACAATATTATGAGCAATTATAAAATATGTATACAGTTGAGTACTCTATAGCTACTCTATAGCTGCACAAAGAATTTTATTAAAAATTACTAATCCTCTTCATCGTGTTAAAATTTTATAATAAAAAAACCAAAAAATTTCACAAAATATTTGTATTTATTTTGTTCAATACATCTCTGATAAATCATTGCATTTTAGGCACATTTTGTTTTTCATTATTTGCATAAAATTTGGCATCAAAATATTATAATTTTGTGCAATTAGCAAAATTAATTAAAAAAGTAATAAATAGTTGCATACATTCTCATCACATTTTTTTTTTTTTTATCACAATTACATAACTGTATTTTAAAATCAAATATATGCTGTACTTATTTGGTGTCAATTACCAAACTGAATTAGAGATCTATGTACTGACTCAGCCAATCAAGGACAGTAACTCTTGATGTTTGCATTTTCAAGAGCCATGGATTATTTACATTATTTATATACAATCGATCAATTCATGAGTGAACTTATTTAAATAATTGGAATGTGTTAAAAATAAAGGTGTTAAGCCAGGCACTGTTGTACCACAAATCCAACTCCCCTTCCTGTGAACAGTAGATGCGATGCGACCCCATCTGCTGATTGTCAGTGGCAGTCTAAACAAATCTTAATTAAAAATGATTCGTTGCATGCATACTTTCTAATGTTGAACAACCACCATGATTGGTGCTGTAAACATTACTATCGTTTGGAGAACTGAACTCTGTAGGTCAACTGTGGTTGCTGGGTACCCACAACATGAAGTGTACTCTGAGAAAATAACGAACAGTACAAACTGTTAAAAAATGTTTTCTTAAACACAATACATCCATATACTTACTAAATGTAATAAAACAATTGTTAAAATTAAAGTTAAGTAGTATTTGTACAGCACTCTACTTCTTCCAGATAGTATCTTTTCACACCATTAATTTTGTACATAATTCTTAAACAGTTGTACTACTTACTGGTTTGGGCAGAGGGTCTAGTGCCTTCAAACTAAGTTTCTGCAGGATCAACGTTATCAAGACATGAATTTCCATCAAAGCAAACCATCTACAATATAATATCAACATGGCTTTCAATATGACTGGACAATCACGATTTAAAGTTGGTAATAACACCACCACTGTACTTTGTGTATTGTCAACATACAGATGGTCATTGATCATTAATGCAACCAAAATTGCAAGATTGATTGATTGATTGATTAGACTTGATTATCAAAATTTAATAAGCCCTCACCTTCCAGGGCACTGGTAACGCCCTCCACCAAAGCCAATAAATCCGTCTAGAAAGAAATTCTTTTCCAGATCAGCTGCCAACCACCGGTCCTGTGTGATAAACATTTTTTTTTTGTGATGTTCAAATGAATTGGAGGTTGATAGAGAGGCCTTGGCAATATGGGCTTTATAGGCTGAGGATTTACTGTACATCTAAAGATCTAACATAGCACTCTATAAAACATAAATTTGTTTTCCTGCCAAGTTTGGAATAGATGATAGATTAACAGATGCAGTGTTACATCGTATTGCTGTATTGTAAACTACTAACTTCTGAAACCCACATCCAGACATTAAATCTTTTATCTATATAATCTATTCAGTCAACACTACTTTAGGTACCGGTTTGAATGATTCTGGGTCTGTGAAGAATCTTTGGTCTCTGTGGGCCCAGTAAGGAGAGACCATCAGCATATCACCTACAGGTATAGTGTAACCCTGAAAGGATAAAATCATATATTATTGATCAATATTAGGCTTTTACCTTTGCTGTTAATAAATATTTTTCTTTCTTTTTAGATTTAAAAGTATAGGCCCATATGTATTAATGTGCATATTATGTTTTATATGCGAGTGCACATAAGCATGATTGTGCATGTATACATAGATACTATGTAAATGCTTTTTAACTTAGTTTGTAGTTTATTGTAAGTGTATTATATGGCTTAGGTGTGACAGTCCTCCTCTGGAGCGACTGCCTACTTGCTGCCTGTATGTAACTGTAAGGCGAAACTTGGCCAAAAATATAATTTTTATTTGAAATCATTATTACTTTCTGGCGACGGGTTTGCTAAACAAGGTACAAAAAAAGTCTTGCCTAAATCATTAAGATGTTCATGTAATTTGATTTTTTTATAACCAACTTCCTTTGTATAATTATTCCAATTTCATTTTTAAGTGATGCAACCCTTGTTGAGTTGGGTGCCACCGATGTAATTGGTAAATTATAATAACAATAGCTTGAAAAAAATGTAGTATGTACTGTATTTGAATTGCTTATATAATTTATTTCCTTTCAATTAAATATTAGGAAGAAAAAAAGCTCTTGCTTTTAATTAATGGAAATGCAAATTAAATATTTCCTATGTTCTTTGCATAAAACTTTCACTATTAATCAAATTCTGTAAATCAGCAAAACTTATTTGTAACTGTTTTGATCTTTTTAATTAGCTATTCAATGTTTTTTATTGAATTGATGACTTTGTGTAACTTCGCAGGAAAGTGAATTTGGTAGCCCTGTACCAAGATACAAACCTTTACATCAAAAGACTTTACAACTTTCCTAGTAATGACACCTGGTGAACGTAATCTAATGGTTTCTAGTATACATCTCTTGATAGAGGGCAGTTTACTAATGATTTCTTCATCTACTACCAATTCTGTCTGCTTATCACCAAACGCATCATTCAGTTCTTTAGAAACTTTACTCAGTTCCTCTGGATAGGTGTGCAAGAATGCCAGAACCCAAAAACTTATCTGAAAAAAAAAGATAACTAATAAAATCGGACATTCCTATATCAGGGAATGGAGAAGTGCGCCCCAACCCCTAAAATGGTGAAATTTTTTTCATGCGTGCATCAGATTGATAGCATGGTGGTATAAAATGTTAATATTTCAATTTTATACCTCCAGGTTTTAATTAAGCAAGAAAGGTCTTGGTGTTTGAAGGGTTTGAATGTTCTAAAAAAATTACTGTACCGTAAAATATAATAGTATACTGGTTAGCTTAACGATGGTATCACTATCAGCCCAATTTAATTACCTCACACTCTGATGGTTGGAGCTTATCTGTCAATCAAATATGTAGATTGCAGTTAATCTGTCAATCAACATTCATTGATTGGCAGCTTATCTGTCACTCACCATAATTACAGGCTTGTTAAAGTAGATAATGCACCGCTTTAATTAAGTGTAAACAAATGATTAGATACCTTAATATAAAAATGTATATAGCTAGTCATATAATTAGTGGGGACAATCTAGAACTTAAATATAGGCAGAATACATTACTGGAATGGCATTAGCTTGCGATGCCCACAGCAGCAAAAGGGCAAAATTTGGTGCAGATTTGGCATCAACAATATCCATCAATTGCTGGACCAATGACTGAAAGTAAAAAAAAATAAGGAAAATAGTCACATCAAATGAAAGAAATATCACTGCTGAATGAATCCAAAATATTATTGCTGCCTTCTCCCAACCCAATGCAACACAGTTAAACCGGGTACGCACTGTGACATTCGACCATTGACCGATGAATCCATCTCCGCTCACAAATATTTTTTTTTTCTTCTCTGCTGTGTTAAGCGCCTCGAGGTTTTATCAACATAAAGCGCTATATAAATCCAGAATAATTATTATATTAATTAGTGCTTGACGACACCACCCATTTGCTGATTTTCAATGGCAGTCTGTATTGACTGTCAATAGAAACAATCTGTTACATGTGTTGTGTCTTGAACTTACCACTGATTTTGAAGACTGTAACTGTAATCTGTCTTGGACTGTCTTAAATACCTTCAGAAGCCACTGCTTACAAGCAGCCCAGTCCCTGAAATGAACAAGTTACACATTAAACAACACAATCGTCATTAATAATAGTCCATCCTTTGGTTTCCATAACATAAATTGGGTTCAATATTGGGGTAAAATGGTTATGTTTTGTTTGGGATGTTTTAATCTTTCTTTATTTGTGTTAGACTTATGCACATCTGTCTATTAATTTTGCCATGAAAGTGAAATTTTAATGAACTAAGAAACATTCAGTACATCTCAAAAGTCAAGGCACAGATGAAAATTCTGAAAAACCATACAAAGTATAAGATGTATACTAATACTAATGTTGAGATCAAGTTTAGTGGATATGAAGGATTGCTTACCGGAGGAAAAAGTCAGGAATCTGTGAACCATACTCAAACTGATCATCAAATTTGACGAATATGTCTTCAAGTTGCTGGATATGTTCCTCATCTGTTGGAATTGCACCCTCACCAAACAAATTGTTTACAACTGCCCCAAACATTACTCTCCTATGAAGCAAAATTTGGTATAAAAATTATCTTAACTTTAAAATGCAATCGGCAATCTGACAGCGAGAGGTCGCAGGTTCGAGTCCCGCCAGAGGCATTTTATTACAGAATTTCTTTATTCATTTATTTACAGGACTACATTTGTTGAGAGCTATGCTACACGATGTATTATTATGTCCTTTATTCGAACACTATTTACCTTTCTTTGATGATTTATATATATAATTTAACAGTGTTAACGGCTAC